TGTTGTTGTTGTTGTTGTTTACCTGCCCATTGGTAGGGTAATGGTCCTGAGTGCTGGTCACACTGAGGTAGGATAGTGGGATAGGGGGTGCGCTAGGAGTATTGACGTGAGGATGGGATGGGAGGTGGTCTCATATTCCAGGACACCCACGGCCTACTGCTCCAGGTGATCACTGTGTACTCAGTGACTGGCCTCTGCAACACCATGGACTTTTAAGGAAAAAAAGAAAAGAAAAGAGCCGAGCCCAGGTTGTTGTAGAGGTGGGATACTACACAGATGACAGAGACCCACAGTAATCGGCCATTCAATTGTCCAGATGAACCCCTCTGAAGACCCCACCCACCCTTCCTCTCATCCTTTTTCCCTGGCGCACCCCCACCACCGCTGTCCTACCCGAGTGTTAACCACCCAGGACCTCAAATCTTATTTGTGTTAACCACCCAGGACCTCAAATCTTATTTGTGGACAGCACGTGCTGGGAAGTGGGCCCAGCGCCCCGGAACACAAGCATGTGCTAGAGGCAGTTCATGCGATCTTGCGCCAAGTGATGAGTTCACACCCTGTAGCTGCTTGGCATGGGGAGTCTAGGCATTGATTTCTTCCTTCGCAGTGGAAGGATTGACGTTTGCCCCCCCATGCCAGGTTATAATACACTGACTTTTCTTGTAGGGTGCCTTTTCTGATAGCTCTCTTTAAACCACCAGTACTTCGGGGACACTTTTCTCTGGGGCTGGAAATGCCCTGTGTGGGCCTCTTTTTGGCTGATGCCACTAGGCATTTTGTTCCGGAGGCCGAGCCCCGAAAGTTGCGGCAGCCTGCAAGCCGCGACTTCGAAAAAATGGCTGGGAAACATACTGGTGGTTTATAGAAAGGCCAATTTTCCCCTTTCTTAGCTGAACTGCACTCTGTGAGAATCGCCTGATTTGCTGTTTCTCCAATATGCTGGCAGGTTCTTCCCACATGATTCTAAATTCAGATCAGCCCACATGTCGGGGATAAGCTTGCCTTCCCCTTCAATGAATTCAAAGATTCCAGGTAAGGATGATTCCAGCTTTGGGCACTGGGCCTGTTTTCTTTTGGAAAAAAAAAAAAGATTTTTGGGGTCACTTTGGTAGAGTCACAAAACGAGTTATAATTGCACTGTGGAGCAAAATACAGTTTGCAACTGCACTTCAGGCGCCCTACCTGGCCAGAAAGCTGGGTTGTATACATTGCCCAAACTGCAATTTGAAACTGTATCTTGGCCCGTAGTGCAATTATAACTCATTTTTGTGACACCCGCGTAGTTTCCCCTTTTTTGTTTCTTTTTCCAGGAAACTAAAAGTTTGAAAATACACTTCAGGCAAAAAACAGTTTCGAAGTGCACTTCGGACAATGTATACAAGCTAGCTTTCCGGTCAGGTAGGGTTGAGTGGGGGTGTGTTGTGTTCAGGGGAATGCCCGATGTGTAATTTCAAACTGATTTTGTGACTGTTCCAGTACTGAAGTTACCCCAATCTTCATGTGTGGGAGAGCTCACTTAAACCGCAACAAGTACACGGCCCCAGCCTTGCAGTCCGAAACTTGTCACCACAAGAAAATGAGGCCGAAATGTCAAACGCCCGGCCCGCCGTTGATAAATTCCATCGGCGGTCACGTTCTCATTTCGCGCCTCCAGAATTTGAGGTGTCAGGCCCGCGGGCCAGGTGCCCATGTACTGGTGCGTTAACGAGGTGATAAGAGCAGCCCTGTTAAGTGGGTACCGGTTTTGAAGGCTCCATCTATTGGTGGGGAGCTGCACCTGCTAAAATCGGGTGCAGTGTCGGTGTACAATGCGGTGTGAGTATGTTCGTATGGTGTGGCTCTACTGTGTATACAGTACTGTGTGACTGTGTTTGTATAGTCTGTATATGCTGTAAGAAGCTCAAGACCCTCGCCAATGCCTCTACAGTGTGCCCCTAAGGAGCAGGAGGCATTGATTACTTCCCAAGACCAGGGAAGGATTGACCTCCTCCCATCCTAGCTGCTAAACAGACAGAGTATTTCCAGTAGTACCATCAACTGGCATCAACCACCCCGGGAAGCAAAATGCGACCCATGAAACCCTAAACGACCAACACCTTGCCCGGAGAGCAATCAATAGCTCCCTTTTCCGAATGAGGGCACAGTCACACGGGCACCTCATAGAATGCATCTGGTGGTGGCGCTTGCAGCGCTATGGTCGCGAGCGCATGGGGAACGAACCGGCCAGCGGGCCTGGCGGTCTTGCTACCCAAGACCTTGAAGTTGACGAGGACGGCAAGAGACGTTGACGCCATCGCAGCCTGGAAGGTAGGTTGACCCAACGGGTATGGTGGAGGTGCGGCGACGCGGGCAGGGTAGGAATACCCTGTAGTCAACGAGCGAGCGGTGTCCTTGCGAGTGGAGCGCTGCGAATAACACAAGGTGATCCTGAGGACGATACCAAGGAGATAGGAGATAAGATTTTCAACACATGATGGCTTCTGCAGAGGGGCGGCGACTCGAGGCGGACTGCTGGCTCTCTAGGTTGAACGAATGTCAGGAGAAACTTTGGGCTATGGTGGTCCAGCTCTCATCCCACCCCCTGTCTGGTCTTGAGGTTGAAGGGGGAGCAACCTCTGTAACCGGATGGGTGGAGGCCATAGTGCTGTGCATGTTGGAAATCAGCGAGCCTTTCGAAGAGGGGCCTGCCATGGAGATAGATGCCTATATTGACTGGCACCGAGCAAACGATTTATGGAGCGATTGTCTTCAGCTTCAGGCCGAAGCACGTGCGTGGGGTGTGGAGGTAGTTAGGTGCTCCCAGGCAGCCGGATTTGCAACTTCGCCACTATCACCAGCAGTATCGTCGACGGTATCAACAACAGAATCAACGACAGCATCATCAACAACATTAACAACAGCATCAACAACAGCATCAACAATGGTAGCATCAACAACAAGTTCGACAACAGTGCTCATGACAACGACATCTGCAGAATTGCCAATATCAAAGACTGCAACAGGTGCCCCAGTGTGCATCACGGAGATATCGAACGCATGGGGAGCGGTTTCTACTCTAATGCCGGACCCGGTGGGCATCATGGTGACTTCCTCCAAAACGGGGTCGGCATCATATCTTTTAGGGGAAACTGCTCCTGTGTGGCATACTGCGTAGCCACACGGGCCCTGCAGGGCCCGTTCCGGACATTCAGCCTAAAAGCCTAAAACTTAGGGCTTACAGGCCCCGTTCATTTCAGCCTGAAAGCTGAAAAAAGAGGGCCTGCAGGCCCTACCCCGTTTCAGCCTATTTCTGGGTCTTTTCAGACCCAGAGTTTTCAGCCTGAAAC